TGTGCAGAAGTTTTGTAGCTTAATGTAATCCAACTTGTCTAATTTTGCTTTTGTTTACTCTAATTCAGGGATAATTTTCAAAGCACTGCCTGTACAAGTCTTCAAAGGTTTCCCTTGTATTTTCTTCTAATAGATTCCTAATAGTTTCAGGACTTTATTCCAGCATTTGATTCATTTTTAGTTGCTTTTGTATTTTGTGAGAAATAAGGGTCAAGTATCAATGTTTTGCATGTGAATATCCAGTTTCCCCAAGGCCCTCATTGAAAAAGCTGTCCTTTCTCCAAAGTACATTTTGTTTATCTTCATGAGGAGCAAAACCCAATAAATGCAAGGGGTGTGTCTGGGCCATTATTCTCTTGCTTGGATGTGCATGCCTGGTTTTATGGAAATAGCATGCTGCCTTGGTTATTATATCTTTGTGTTGTATTTTAGAGTCAGGCAGTGAAGTGTCTTTGGTGGGGTTTTCCAACTATGGAATCATATAATCTTCACATGGGAATGATTTGAATTCCATTTTTCCTATTTGTATCCCTTTTATTTATATCTCTTCCCTAGTTGTTCTGGTTAAAATTTCAATTAGTATATTTAGTAAGGGTTATGAAAGTAGATATCCTTATCTTGTTCCTCATTTCATAGGGAAAAGCTCAGTGTTCTCCTTTCAGACAGATATTGACAATAGGTTTCTCATACATACCTTTATTATGATAAGGTGTCATCCTTCCAACCTAAGTTGTTGAGGGATTTTTATCATGATGGTTCTGAATTTTACCAGTCTTTCTCTGCATTAAGATGATCATATGATATTTATGCTTGATTATACGTGTGTGCTCTATATGCATTTGCATATGGTGAACCATCCTTGCATCCCTGGAATTCAAACACCATGATCACGATGCATGGCCTTTGTGATGTGCTTCAGAATTCAATGTGCAAGCAAGTATTTTATTATGGATTATTGAATCTGTGTTCATCAAGGATAGTAGTCTACAGTTTACTTGTGTGTGTGTGTGTGTGTGTGTGTGTGTGTGTGTGTGTGTATGGTCTTTATCAAGTCTTGATCACAGAGTAATAATGACTTGTAGAATGAATTTGGAGAGGTTCTTCCATTTCTATTTTATGGAACAGTTTGAGGGTCATTGATGATACTACTTAAAAATTCTATAAGATTTATCAGTGAATCTGTCCAGTTCTAGACTTCTTCTTTAGACACTTTTGATTACTGCTTCATTCTCAAAGTTTCTTATTGATATACTTAAATTTTTATATACTCTTGGTTCCACTTTGGTAGGACAATGTGTCTTGAAATTTGTCCAAAATAGTCCTTAATGTTGTTATGAATGTCCACATTGTCTCCTACAAAATTTTACTTGTTATCTCCAACTTTATTCACTCTTTCTTTTGCTTATTTTAGATGAGGGACTGACAATTTTGTTTGTCTTTTCAAATATTTGTTTCATTGATCCTTTGCATGATTATTTTAGACTCTGTGTTTTTGCCTTGTTTTTTTTTTTTTTTGTTGTTGTTGTTGTTATATCTTTTCTCCTATGATTTTGACTTCAGTTTTGTTCTTCTTTTCCGAGGAATTTAAGATGCACCATTAAGTCGTTTGAGATTTCTATTTTGAATTTATGTACTCATAGGTGTAAACTTCCCTTATATTACTGCTTTCACTGTATCCCTAAGGTTTTGGTATCTTGTCTTCCTATTTCCATTCGATATGAGGAATTTTTAAATTTACCCATTCATTTCTTCATTGACACCTGTTTTTTGTTTATTTTTGTTTTTTAGGAAAAAAAGTGATTGGTCAATCCCCATGTGTTTGTATCATTTCTATAATTTTTCTTATTGTTGATTTCTCTTTCATTCCTTTATGACCTGATAAAATGAAATAAATTATTTCAATTTTTGAATTCACTGTGGCTTAATTTGTGGCCTGATATGTGATCTATTTTTGAACAAGTTCCATGTGCCAATACATAGATAGTATATCCTGTAGCTGTTGAATGGAATATTCTGTAGATGGCTGTCAACTCTATTTGATCCAGCACTCTGGGGTTTCATTAATTGTCATGCTTTGTCTGAATGATCTCTCTCTCGGTAAGTATATGTTATTGAATTTACTCACTGATTCTGTATCAGGACCAGTCTCTCCCTTCATGTCTGGTAGTGTTAGTTTTACAAAACTGGTGTGATAATGTTTGTTGTATTATTTAAAATTGTCACATCCACTTGGAGAATTGTTCACTTTATCCTGATTCATTTATTTGTCTCTTTTCACTGATTTTGGTTTGATGTTGGTTTTGTTAAAGGTGAAGCTACACCTGCTGCATTCAGGTTTATTATATTTTATGACCAGTCAGCCAAGATTTTAGCAGGCAGCATGTGGGTAAGTTTGTTTTTTAGTTCATTGAGCCAGTCTGCATCCTTAATCCGAGAATCAAGACCATTTCCATTCATAATTAATGTTGAAAGCACGTGCTTGTCCTTGCCATATTGAGGGTTTTCTTCTGGTAGTTTTAACTTTCTGTTTTTTCCTCTCTCATTCATCTTAGAAATTTTATGCCTTTCTGTATTGAATATGCTTGATTTTTTCCTAATTCTCATTTGTGTACCTATTATTCCACTGAGACATTTTTATTTGCTATGCTCTCATGATTGTCTTCTTTTCTCCCTTGTCTGGTGTATGATTACCTTAACTATCTATCAAATGCCTATTTTGTGGCCATGAATTTTCTTATTCTATGTTTATCATAGAAAGTGTCCATTTCTAACTCGATTCTGAAGGGTGACTTTGCTGGGCATAGTCATCTCGGTTGGCAATATTATCTTTCTGGACATGAAATACATTATTCCATGCCCTCCCAGCCTTTAGAGTTTCTGCTGACATCTTCTATTCTTCTGATGGCTTGGCCTATAAATGTGACCTGGAGTTTCTCTTTTGTATCCTTTAATATTCTTTTTATGCCTATACTTTTGGAAATAACACTATCAAATGTTGTGGAAGGTTCTTTACTGGTAATGGCTTACTGAGTTCTAAATGACTCTTACATCCAAGTTTCAATGTCCCAAGATGTGGGGAAATGTTGGCCAAAAAAATGGGCATATGACCTGAAAGGATGTTTCTCAACAGAGGATTTACAAATGACCAACATGCATATGATAGTTCAACACCATTAATCATCATAGAATGCCATTTAAAAACCTCAACAAGATACCTTCTCAGTCCAGTTAGAATGGCTTTTATCAAAAAGACAAAAAAAATGATTTCACATTGCAAACACATGTTGAAATGTCACACTGTACCATGCTCCTGGATAAGCAGAATTAATATTGTCAAAATGGCCATACTACCAAAAGCATTATACAGATTTAATGCAATTACTATTAAAATCCCAATGACATTCTTCATAGAAATAGAATAATAATCATGAAATTTATTTGGAAAAATAAGAGACCCAGAATAGCTAAAGCAATCCTTAGCAAGAAAAGTTAAACAGGAGGCACCACATACCAGACTTTAGACTATACTACAGAGTTATAGTAACAAAAATGGCATGGTTTTGTCACAAAAATAGACTTGTAGCCCGATGGTACAGAATAGAGGACACAGAGAAAACCCACATAAATACAATTATCTCCTACTAGACAAGGGTTCCAAAAACATTCACTGGAGAATAGATAGCCTATTCAACAAATGGTGCTGGCAAAACTGGAAATCCATATGTAGCAAAATGAAATTAAACCTCTCTCATGCTGCACAAAAACCAACTCAAAGTGGATCAAAGACTTAGGCACTAGAACAGACTACTTGTGCCTAGTAGAAGAGACTCTAAAAGTGCAAGAAGTAAAACGAAGAATCAATTAAAAACCTTCTTCTTAGCAAATGAAACAATTAATAATGTGAAGAGAGAACCTAGAGATTGGGAGAAAATCTTTACCACATGCACCTTCAATAAAGCATTAATCTCTAGGAAAAGAACTCCAAAAACTTAACACCAAAAAACCAAATAACCCAATCAATAAATGGGCTAAGGAACTGAACAGACACTTCACAGAAGAAGAAATACAATTGATCAACAAGTATATGAAAAAGTGTTCAACATCTCTAGCAATTAGAGAAATGCAAATCAAAACTACTGTAAGATTTCATCTCCTGTCAGAATCGCAATCATCAAGAATACAGGCAACAATAAATGTTGCCAAGGATGTGGGGGGAAAGGTACACTGATACATTGCTGGTGGGACTGCAAATTGGTACAACAACTATGGAAAGCAGTAAGGAGATTCCTCAGAAAACTGAGAATGGAACCACCATTTGACCCAGCTATCCCACTCCTTGGTTTATACCCAAAGGACTTTAAATCGGCATACTATAGTGATGATGCCACATCCATGTTTATAGCAGCTCAATTCACAATAGCTAGACTATGAAAGCAACCTAGGTGTCCCTCAGTAGATGAATGGATAAAGAAAATGTGGTATATACACCCAATGGAATATTACTCAGCTTTAAAGAAGAATGAAATTATGGCATTTACAGGTAAATGAATGGAGTTGGAGAATATCATACTGTGTGAAGTAAGCCTACCCCACAAAACCAAAGGCCAAATGTTTTCTCTAATATGTGGATGTTAATTCACAATAAGGCAGGGGGAGGGGCACTAGGGGAAAATAGCATTACCTTGGATTAGGAAGAGGGAGCTGATGGGAAGGTAGAGGAGGGGATGTGGGGATAAGAAAGATAGTAGAATGAAAAAGACATTACTACTGTATGTATATATATATGACTTCATGACAAATATGATTCTGCAACATGTACACTCAGAAAAATGAAATTATATCCCGTCTATGTATGATGTATTAAAGTGCATAAGTGCATTCTACTATCATGTGTAAAACAAATTAAATTAAAACAAATTTTAAAATAAAAGCATTCAGTTCATAAGTAATTCCATTGAATTTGAAGATAATCAGGGCTAAGTCACCCCTAAGCATTTCTATTTCTTCCTATCAGCTATAATTTGAAGAACTACCAGCTTGTGCTGGCACTGGTTTTTGCCATTGAGGAGATCAACAGGAACCCCCATATTTTACCCAACATGTCTCTGGGATTTGATCTCTATAATATTTCATATTTTGAATGGAATGTTTTGGAGACTTCCTTCTTTTGGCTGTTGGGGCTGGAAAAGATGATTCCTAATTATACCTGTAGAAGAGAAAGCAAGTCTGTAGCAGTACTGATGGGAGCATCATGGAAGATATCTTACCAGATTGGGCCATTCCTGGAACTCTACAAATTTCCACAGGTAACAGTGGGTAGAAAAGAGATTAAGCCATTCTCCTCTGTTGCCCATCTTGGGGCCCTGGATAGGGTTACAGGAGGAGACAAGCTTTCAACAGTTTTCAAAGTGTGTCATCTCAAAGGTTAGGTGCTCAGAGACTGGGTGATGTATTCACATTTTCTTTCTTTGGAATAAAGAGCGGCAGGGGCTGGTGCAGTGCAAAAAGTGGGTTGGAAACCTGAGGCTGTTCAATAATTTTCCAGAAAGCTCTCAGGATATGAGAGATGGCTTTGAAAATGATATGAATAAATTTCCTTGGTAACACTTCCACCTATTGCTTCATAAAATATACCACTCAGGACTGAGACTGTGCTTTGTGACAATCCTTCTCATCATATTCCTTCAAAATGTTCTTTTCCCTTCAGCTCACCTTTGGACCTTTTGATCATAAACTGAGTGATCCTGTCCAGTTTCCTTCTCTCTATCAGATGGCCCCCAAGGACACATCTCTGGCCCTTGGTATGGTCTCCTTGCTGCTTCATTTCCACTGGACCTGGGTGGGGCTGCTCATCTCAGAAGATCACAAAGGTATTCAGATTCTCTCAGACTTGAGAGCGGAAATGGAGCAAAATGGAGTCTGTGCAGCCTTTGTGGAAATGATCCCAGAGAACCATGTGTTCAATCATCACTTGGTCACTGAATCATCAGCAAATGTGATTATTATTTATGGTGATACTAAGTTTTTAGAAGACTTGATGTTTGATGTAGGGCAAACTCTAATGACATGGAAAGTCTGGGTCACAAACTCACAATGGCAAGATGTCAGCAAGGGGAAAAATTTCATGTTAGATTCATCTCATGGGACTCTCATGTTTTCACACCACCATAGGGAGATTCCTGGGTTCACAAATTTCATCAGCACAGTTAACCCTTCCAAATACCCGGAAGACGTTTACCTGGCTCCTTTTCTCAATTGGACTGTAACATCTTGGAGAACTGCCCACTAAATGCCTCCTTGGAATGGTTGCCTGAAAGCACTTTTGACACGGCCATGAGTGAAGAGAGTTACAACGTATACAATGCTGTGTATGCCGTGGCCCACACATTTCATGAGGTGCTTCTTCACCAAGCAGACACACCAAAAATGGGAAATGGGGATGGGCTTCTGGTTTCCCCTTGGCAGGTAATATCTCTTTTGCCTCATGACACACACCACTGCAAGGTGATTCTCTAAAGGGATGGCCACAAGGGAGCAAACAAAGTAGTTTAGGATCCTTTCTCCGAAAGCACAACAGAAACTGTACTTGTTTCAGTGTTGGAGGTAAATGTAGGCCTGTGTAGAAGCAGTCTTGAGGAAAGTGCCCGTAGCAAGGACAGAATGTGTTCTACACCAACATCAAAGCTTGTATTACAAATGACTCCTGTTGAGCTGATATTTTCAACAGAAGAAATTCTGATTTTCCATGACTGTCTTAAACCATAAGAGCAGAATTCATTCTTGAAGTGTGTAAGTGCTGCTTAGGACTCTAATGGACACTTACATAAGTGAACACATTTCACACCACTTGAAGAATTAACCACATTATTTTGCAGACTTAGACTGAGACTCACTAGATGCAGTGAGCTTTCACTAGGCAGTTAAGGTATTATCTGACTTCCAAATCCTCTGATTATTTACATGTGCTTAACTGAGTGACTTCTACTAGAACTATCATTCTAGAAACCTTATTCTCTAGCTGTCCATGGGCTATCATTTGTTCTACTCTATGATGCTTATGTTAAAGTTGCATTATAAAACAGAGATTAGCTAGGTGCCGTGTCACCCACCAATAACCTCAGTGGCTCAGGAGGCTTAGAAAGGAGGACTTTGAGTTAAAAGCCAAGTTCCAAAGCAACTCAATAAGATCCTGTATCTAAATAAAATACAAAAAGAGGCTAGGGATGTTGCTCAGTGGTTAGTCGTCCCTGGGTTAAAYCTCTGTTACCTAAATAAATAAACAGGGATTAAAGACAGGAGACTTTATCAACTTCAGGGTTTCTGTCTTAACTTTGGGACATGCTTATTCATAAAATACTGTATCTCTTTAGCTTCACCCATTTCTCAAGAAAATAAAATTTGAAAATCCTGCTGGAGAACAAGTGAATTTGGATGAGAAAATGAAAATGGAAGGAGAATATGATATTCAAAACTTTTGGAATTTTCCAGAAGGTCTTGGACGAAAGGTGAAAGTAGGAAAGTTTTCCCCACATGCTCCACGTGGCCAACAACTGTCTTTACATGAGGACCTGATACAGTGGAGCATAGGATTTACACAGGTGGGTTGGACTCAATCAAAATGCTTTAACTACACAAGTATAAACAAAAATTTGTCCTGTATTGTATGTCCCCTGATTGCTCATTCATGGGCCTACAAAGTACATTTAACAACACATATTCAAGAAATTTTCTTATGAACACACCTTGGTGGTTGAATAATGAACCCATTTTTAACAACATGATTGTAACTATTTATACATTTCATGTCATAAAATACACATGGCACCTGAGAATCAACACATATGGAGGTGTTATGATTTGGATATATAGTGTCCCCGGAAAGCCCTTGTGTTAATGCAAGAGTTGAAATGACTTGATTATAAGAGCCATAACCAAATCAGTGGATTAATAATTTGAATGGATTACTAGGTGGTAACAGTAGGCAAGTTGGGTGTGACTAGTGGAAGGGGGTCACTGGGGGCCAATCTTGGGATTATATATTTAGTCTCAGGCTCTCATGTGCAACTCATATTCTCCCTCCCCCCATCTCTCCCTCCCTCCCTCCCTCCCTCCCTCCCTCTCATTCCTTCCTCCATGATGTTCTGGGTCACCTCCGGCCCAGAGCCATGGAGTCATCAAACATGAACTGAACCTCTGAAACTGTGAGCCCAAGTAAATGTTTCCTACATTAAGTTGTCCTTGTCAGGTGTTTTGGTTACTGTGACAGTAACCTAACTAACACAGGAGAAATGATCTATTTTCACTCAGTTTTGATGTTCAGTCCATGGACAAAAACCCATGTACTGACCAACATGATTCTTTTTTTTTTTTTTAAGAGAGAGTGAGAGAGGAGAGAGAGAGAGAATTTTTAATATTTATTTTTTAGTTCTCGGCAGACACAACATCTTTGTTGGTATGTGGTGCTGAGGATCGAACCCGGGCCGCACGCATGCCAGGCAAGYGCGCTACCGCTTGAGCCACATCCCCAGCCCCTGACCAACATGATTCTAACTGTTCGTATATTTCATATCATAAAATATACATGACAACTGTATTAGTTTCTATCACTGTGACAAGTTGCCTAAGAAAATCTAACTTAACAAGAAGGAATGTGTTTGTTTTGACTCAGTTTAGGTTTTTCAGTCTGTAGTCTTTTGGCCTCTTGCTTTTGGGTCTGTAGCTAGGGAAGTACATCATGGTGAGAGTATGAGGCAGGGAAGTTGCTACCCTCATTGTAACCATGAAGTAGAGAGATTTCAACATCTTTCAAAGCTATGCCCCAACTTCCTCCCACTAGGTGCCACTACTTGAAGGTTCCACCACCTCATAATGGCACTATTGGCCTTTAGCATCAAGGTCTTTGGGAGACATATGATATCATAACTATAGCATTATCAAAGCAATTTATTAGACTTGGATACAGATTATACCTTCTAATGGTCCCATTCTCTAACACTCTGTACTGACTGGAGGACAAGTCCAATGAGGCTGAGCAGTTCCCAACACCCATCTGATTTTCCTCAGACCCCTCGTTCTGTCTGCACTGAGAGATGTGGTCCTGGATTTAGGAAATCCCCACAGGAGGGAAAGCCTGCCTGTTGTTTCAGTTGCACTCCTTGCCCGGAGAACGAGATTTCTAATGAAACAGGTGAGCATGTGCCTTGTGCAGAAATTCCCTATTATTCTTAATATTCTTCAGTCAACACAAGCAAATGGAAAAGATCTGGAAGGGACTTCAGAGATTTCAGGTAGGAGTTTAATTGTTATTCACAATAGTATTTCACCTTGAAATAACACAACTCTGTAGACCTAAACTACACATTTGGCTACCCCATTCTAAATACACTATGGGCATATAATCTCAAGAAGCCCCTTCCATCACTGCACAGGAACGTCAGTTTCATCTCCACCATGGAATTTAAAGCACAATCTTCTTGGTCTCCTTTGAAACTATGTTTAGACCACATTGCAGATACACATCCTTCACACTCTACCTCCCCACTGCCTAGCACTGCTCTTGACACATAGCAGGGTTCAGAAAGTGCTTGGTTTAACCTGCAGGTGTCACTGTGCTATAAAGCACGCTTTCAAAGCACCCATGAGTAGGTCTTATTCCCTGCTCTCCACTCATTCACAGGTGAGTGGAATACACAAGATAAAATGACACGTATTCAAGGAAGAGCCAAAGGGCTGCACAGCTATATTCACTGATTTTTATAGGGTGTTCTTCAAGGAGGCATTTATATTGGAACTGTTACAGGAAAGGTGAAATTAGTATTGGGAGCATTCCTATGGTATCTGATGCAGAAAGTGTAGATTAAATTCTTTTAGGATTAGTGGAAACCAAAAAATTGCACATTTTTAAGTCATGTAATATTCATGGACATTTAAAAAAAGGTTCTTTCTGACTGAAACACAGAGAATGTGGGAATGAAGGTTGGATTCTGACACAGTCATATGTCAGAAAAGTAATAATGATAATTCCTAGGTATCATCTTGGTAATGTTTAGATTTATAGTAACAAATGGCTAGAATCAGCTCCATGCAGGGTTTTTCAGATTTCAGTGTGGTGTATATGTAGCTTAATATCACAACACAATGTGATTCAAATGTTTGTTTATAAATGTATTGAGACTGACAATATAGAAGGCAATACAGTCAATTTGCATTCTTCTCTATACACATAAGTTTAGGGGACGGTCATGTTCACATTCCATAAACTCATATAAAGAACAATGTACTCAACAATGTCAGTACCCACACACTTATGCCTTAACAAATTCACCTTTCAGATCAGTAGGGGAGACAAAGTGGACTGAGGAGGAGGAAGAAGGGACAGGAAAGGGAAGAACAATGAACTGAATCTGACCACATATTCGAATGTGCTTGCATGGAGGTGGCACAGTGGGTCTCAGCATCACGTGTATCCACAGGACACTAATTTTTAAAAAAATGTAAATTGTAAATGGAATGGTGGGGGATCAGTGGAGTGAAGTTGGGGGCACTGAGGGAATTGCTGGGATCTAAACTAGGTAGGGTGAGTTCCATGTTTTGTGATTATATCAGGATGTATCCTGGTGTTGTGTAGAATTTTAAAAATTAAATGAAGATAAAATAAATAAAAATAAATTTTAACAAACAAATGAAAAAAATTTCTTTGTAAAGATCCAGATTTTAAAATTTTGAGAGAGCCAGGCATAGTGGCAATGCAGGTAACCCCAGTAACTCGGGAGGCTGAGGCAGCAGGATCTCAGGTCCACAGCCAGTCTCAGCAGCCTACTAAGCCCTAAGCAACACAGCAAGAACCTGCCTCAAAAAAAAGGCTGGGGATGTGCTCCATGCTTAAGTGTCCCTGGCCTCTATCCCTAGCACACAAAAAAAAAATAATTGTGAGAAATAGTAGGGATGTTATAAGGTTTGATTAGAGTGTAAACTGACAGACTGTTCAGAGAATCGGGGTTTAATAGGAAAGTTCTTTCTAAAGAAACACAGTGGAAATACACCTTTCAATATATCATAAATAAGACAAGAGACTTAAAGAAAGACAATCATGAGTCCAACGTTGAAAATATTATTAATGAAACTTGTGGGGTAACACTAAAACTCTCATTAGAAAGAAATTTAAAACCCCTTACTGTAAATAGGAGTATATTATTGTTATGCCTATTTTGATAAAAATGCTTGGCAGGTTATACATGAAGCAATTGTCATGAGGTAGAAATGGAACAGCACATTAAATGCAGACAAAATAGAAAAGATTAATGCAACACAAAAACTTAAAAAACAAAGAAAGATTAAGAAATCTAGAGTAAAATCCCATAAAAATTGACAAACCATTCATGAAATTAATCTATAAAAAAAGAGTAAAATTGCTAAAAGGAGGTAATTTTATGATTCTACAAAATATTTTTTCATAAAAATATAATATGAAGTATCACATTGGTAGATTTGAGAATATACATAAAACGCACAAAGTTAGTGAAGTCAAAAACCTGTCACCTGAGGAGATCACAACAGACCCAGGGCTGGGGGCTGGCTCCATGGTGACTACTTGCCAGACATGTGTGAGGAGCTGGGTTAGATCCCCATCACTACAAAATAAACAAGCAAAAACAGCAAAAAACAATTATATATATTGATAATATTTAATCCATAGTTGAATACTTACACAATTTTTAATTTGCATTCTTCCCCAGATATGGACCAGTGTGTGAAGTGTCCAGATCTCCAATATGCTAACACAGAGAAAAGCCACTGCATCCAAAGAGCCGTGACCTTCCTGGCTTATGAAGACCCCTTGGGCATGGCTCTGGCCTACATGGCTCTCTGCTTCTCTGCACTCACAGCTGCTGTCCTTGGGGTCTTTGTGAAGCACAGAGACACCCCCATAGTCAAGGCCAACAACAGGGCTCTCAGCTACATCCTGCTCATCTCCCTCACCTGTTTTCTCTGCTCTCTGCTCTTCATTGGCCGTCCCAACACAGCCACCTGCATCCTGCAGGAGACCACATTTGGACTGGTGTTCACTGTGGCCGTTTCCACDGTCCTGGCCAAAACTGTCACTGTGATTCTGGCCTTCAAGGTCRCTGTCCCAGGGAGAAGGATGAGGCGGTGGCTGGTGTCAGGGGCACCTAACTTCATCATTCCCAGCTGCTCCCTCATCCAGCTGACTCTCTGTGGAGTCTGGCTGGGGACCTCGCCTCCCTTTGTAGACACAGACACACACTCTGAACATGGCCACATCATCATCACGTGCAACAAGGGCTCAGTCACTGCCTTCTACTGTGCCCTGGGATACCTGGGCTCCCTGGCCCTGGGGACCTTCACGGTGGCCTTCCTGGCCAGGAACCTGCCTGACACCTTCAATGAAGCCAAGTTCCTGACCTTCAGCATGCTGGTGTTCTGCAGTGTCTGGCTCACCTTCCTCCCTGTGTACCACAGCACCAAGGGCAAGGTCATGGTGGCCGTGGAGGTCTTCTCCATCCTGGCCTCCAGCGCAGGGCTCCTGGGATGCATCTTTGCCCCCAAGTGCTATGTTATTTTATTAAGGCCACATAGGAGCTCTCTACGTGGGTCCAGAGAGAAACTTCATTGTAGGAGCAATAAGCCTTCTTGAGCTTTACTTGGGTTTCTGAAAATTGAGGGTCTGAGTTAAAGCTCCCAGCAGTTTGATATTGGATTTCTACATGTGATTCCCTTCAAGGAACCAGCAATCTACACCTCTTTCTGCACTAATAACAGTTGCCCCACTTGTATTTATGTCTTTTTTCCATTGGGTTGCATCTGAAGTGATTTTTATTCATGAAATCTACAGTGCATCCTGCAGATCCTGCTCATCTGTGTGGTGTTCCCACTGCATGTAGGCTTCTGTTTCGATTCCTTCATTTACATTAGTCATATATAAAATGTCCTAAATTTGCAAAGATAGTGTGCTCTATTTTAAAATCCCTCTATGTATTTCAGTGATTCCTTTTTCTATCAAATAAGACATATTTCATATACTAAGTGTAGTATGTTTTGAAAAGTGATAATGTATTTCTTATTTTTGTCTTTTTCAGTATTCTTGAGATCACTTTGGAGAATTTTTCTTTAATGTGTCCCTTAAATTTTAGAGTCAGTTTATCGCATGCTATAAGAAAAAGATTGAAATTGTAACAGACATTTACTGAATTTATACATTCATTTTGGATGATAAAAATCTCAGTATAGTATTGACTTGCATTTCTCTGATTATTAAGGATGTTGTTAAGGTTATTGAATATTTCTTCATATATTTGTTGACTTTTTAAATTTCTTCTTTTGAGGAACATCTAGTCCATTTGCCCATTTATTGATTGGGTTATTGGGGGTTGGTGTTAATATATTTTCTTCAATCTATGTTTTTGCTACCCTATTCAAATAATCAGACAACTGTCTCGGGGTTTGTCCCTGTGTTTTCTTCCACTGGTATACATTGTGTCTGAATGCCAATGCCAAGCAGCTTTGACACTACAGCTCTGTAGTATAATTTGAAATCAGGCATTGTGATGTCTCCAGCATTGCTTTTCTTTCCTTAGGATTTATTTGGCTATTCCAGGTCTTTTATTGTACCACATTAACTGTAGGACTATTTTTCTAGTTCTATGAAAAATGCCATTGATATTTTGATGGGGATTGAATTGAATATAGATCTCACTTTGGGTAATGTGACCATTTCAACAATATTAATTCTGCCTGTCCATAAACTTGGGAAGACTTTCCATCTTCTACTGCCTTCTCCTATGTCTTTTCTCAATATTCTGAAGTTTTTGTTGCAGAGTTCTTTCACCTCTTTAATTATATTAATCCCTGGGTTTCTGGTTCCTCATTACTTTTTTTTAGCGGTTTTAGTATTTGTGATTAGAAAAACTATTAATTTTCTGACTCTGTATCCTACTACTTTGATGAATCTGATTATAGTTCTAGGAGTTTTCTGTTAAAAGATTTTTAGTTCTTCTAAATACAAAATCATATCATCTATAACCCTTATTTAATTTCATCCCCTGAATGATTGTTCTGCCTAGAGTTTCAAGAACTAGGGGCTGGGGATATAGGTCAGTTGGTAGAGTGCTTGCCTCACATGCACAAGGCCCTGGGTTCAATCCCCAGCAACACACACACACACACACACACACACACACACAAAGAACTATATGGAATAAGAGTGGTGAGAATGGACATCTTTGTCTTCTTCCTGATTTTAGAGAAAATGTTTTCAGTTTTTCTCCATTTACTATAATGTTGACTTTCAGTCTGTCAAATATAGCCTTCATGGTATTGAGTTAAGTCCTTCTATCCCTTCTTTTACTGGTGTTTTTAACATGAATGGATTATGAATTTTATCAATGGCTTTTTCTGCCTCTATTGAGATGATCATGTGATTTTTGTCCTTAATTTGATTCCTGTGATGAATTACACATTTATTGATTTTCAAATATTGAATAATCCTTGCATCACTGGAATGAAACAAACTTCATTATTACATACAATCTTATTAATATGTTGGTGAATATGCATTGCTAATATTGTCTTGAAGGTTCCTGCATCTATGTTCATCTGGGATACAGGTCTATAGTTTTTTCTTAGATGTCCTTATCTGGTGTTGGTATCAGAATGATATTGTCTTCACAGAGTAAATTTGGAATTTCTATTTTCAATTTCATGAAATAATCTGAGCAGCATTGGCATTAGTCCTTCAAAGGTCTGGGAGAACTCAGTTGGGAATCCATCTGGCCCTGAGCTTCATTGTTGTTTCTATGGTTGTTCATAGAAGACTATTTATTCCTGCTTCAATATCATTGCTTTTATTGGTCTGTTTAGATTTTCTATATCCTCTGAGTTCAACTTGGGGAGGCCATAGCGATCATAGATGAATGTAAGAAGTTTAAATTTTCAAATTATATTACTACATTACAGTTATACATAATAGTGAATTTCATTTTTGACATAACCATACATGCTTGGAATATAATTTGTTCCATTTTAGCTCCAGAATTTCATCTTTCTCTCTCTTCCTCCCTACACTATTCTGCTGGTGCTTTATAGTAAGATACTATGAATATGGTTCTAAGAATGAAGTTTATAATTATGAGTGCCTACATTTAAAAAAAATTCCAAATAAACTACCTAAGGATGCACCTTAGTGTCTATAAAAATAAGAACAAATCAATTAAAAACTAGTAAAACAGTTAAGATCAGAGCTGATTGAGAATAAATAATTAATACACAGGATCAATGTAACACAGAGTTGGTTTTTTGAAAAAAAAAACAAGTTTAATAAACTCTTAGCCAAATGAACAAAAAGAAAGAGAGAAGACCCAAATTAATAAAATTAGAGATGAAATAAGAGATATCACCATAGTTATCACTAAAATCCACAGGATTACTAGGGACTATTTTAAAACCTGAAGGCATTCAGTCCCCTGATCTTGAAGAAAAAAATGAAATTACCTCAGAAGGAGTTCATGCTTTCCTCCTCAATCCTGATTGTTAATATACCCATGAAAAAATAAACACGACCTTCACTTATGCAACCATGTGGCACATATCTCTATATCTGACCTGCTGTATCACTGCCCAGTGAGGGCTCACCAGCACACACCTGTGCTCTGTGCATGCTTTCTTGGTGGCAAGACTCAAGTTTACTTTTAAAGTGATCAATGAACTGCCCAACGCAGTGGCACACACCTGTAATCCTAGTGACTTGGGAGGCTGAGACAGGAGGAGCACAAGTTCAAAGCCAGCCTCAGCAAAAGTGAGGCACTAAGCAACTCAGTGAGACCCTATCTCTATATAAAAGAAAAAACAGGTCTGAGGATATGGCTCAGTGGCCAAGTGCCCCTGAGTTCAATCCCCAGGACCAAAGGAAGAAAGAGACACTAAAGTGATCAATGAACATGCCCACACATGCAGAAGAGGGTCAGCTAACACATAATGTGCTTCCATGGGGGACTCTACCCCTGTGCCAACCTTGGCATCATGTATCTCTGTCATTTCTCTGTGTCCCTGCACAGATGGAGATAGGAAGGCTTCTGGTGCTAGTGTGGAATTACATCCTTACTGTCTCTCGCCTGTGTGAGAAACTCTGCCTGCTCAATGTCTATTGATTTCAGATATTTCCTTTTAATGTTTTATTAGTATGTTATGTTACATATAATATTGGGTTCATTTTAACATAATCAGGAAATCATGGAACATAATTTACTCCACTTCAGACTTCCTCTTTCCCTTCCCCCTCCCTCCCCGTCTTCCCTTTTCTCTACTATCTTCCTACTATTGTTTCTTAAAATCGGTGCTTCATAGGTATTCATATAGGTGGAATTCCCTGTGACCTATTGATACATGTGCATAGATAACATGGTCTGGTCAGTTTAATTCCACTCCTACTCCCTTCTCCCATCCTTTCTCCTTCCCCCTCCCCTTCCTCTCTCCACTGATCTTCTACTTCCAAGAGATTCCCCAGCCCAGGCTTTTCTCCCTTATTTTGTTCTAGCTTCCACATGTGAGAGAAAGTCTTCCACCCTGGATTTTCTGAGTCTGGCTCATTTCACTTAGCATCATGTTCTCCAGTTCCATCCATTTAAGAGAAAGTGCCATGATTTCTTTCTTCTTTATGGCTAAAACTCCACTGAGTACATACACTACATTTTCTTTATGTTAATCAGCCATGAGTGTAGGTAATTWATAGATGATGAATATTTTAAATAAACTTTGTATATTTTCTCTTATTTAAGTTAAAATAAAATCATTGGATCAAATGCTGAGACTTATTCATAAATTTGCCACTACTTCTTAAGTACTTGCTAAGAAGCTGGTGCATTCAGCATCCTATTCCATATGCAGCTTCTCCTCCTTCCTCCCTCCTTCCCTCCCTCCAGTCCTGGTACAGACTCATCTACTTGGCATCTCTGTGCCTATTCTGGACACTTCCCATAATGGATTCTCCTGGCATATGTCTGTTTGGCACTAATTGTTTCTATATGCATTCTCTCCACTTCTGTTTGTCTTGGAATGTCTTTGTTTCTCATTCATTTCCCAAGGCCGGCTTTGCTGGATACAGTGTGTTTCACTGGCAGATGTTTTTTTCCTTTGCCATTCTCTCCCAGTCCATCAGATTTCTGCTGAGAAGTCTACCTTCACTTTCAGGTGAACTGGAACATGTTCAGGTATTGTTTCTTTTCTCTTGTGATCTTGAGAGTCTTTTTCTTTCACTTCAAGAATTTGATTTTTTCCTTTAGGTAGGCTAGGTTGAAGTTAAGTCTGACTGCGACATTTGACCTTTCTGTACCTGGATATGGTGTTCTTCTCTAGGCTTGGGACATTTTCTATTATAAAATTAGAGATTAGAATCTCTCATTCCTCTGGCATTCTCAAACCCATCATGAACCCAAATAACCCAGGCATTTTTTTGTTGGGTGGGGGGGATACCAAGGCTTGAACTCAGGGGCACTCAACCACTGAGCCACATACCCAGCCCTATTTTGTATTTGACAGGATCTCACTGAGTTGCTTAGTGTCTCATTTTCACTGAGGCTGGCTTTGAACTCTTGATCCTCCTGCCTCAGCCTCCCAAACCACTGGGATTACAGGCATGCACCA